GGCCCTCCACTGACGTGGTCGGCTAAGCATCCCTAGGACTGTCGTCAGTGTATTGCCAGCCAAGGATTGAAGCTTCTGGAGAATCACAGATTCTGGATAATGCTTCGACACAGCACTGCTACGTGCAGGCCCCTTCCTCACCACCAACCACGTGACTCTAGGGAGAGGATCCCGGGGGGTGAAGAGGGCAGGCCACCAGGTCGGAGCCGCACAAGTGGCAAGCCCGGCGCTGGATCGGACCCTGGCAGCCTGCACCCTTCGTCACACCCTGCAGGCCTTTCCTGGCTTGGACCTTCCGGGAAACCGAGAGCATCATCGCCCCTCAGAGAAACACAGAGTGACGGCCAAAGGCAGGCTCTGGTTACTACGCCCCCCAGGAGAGGGAGAGGAGGAGTTTGACATTCAAAGCTCTGCACAACGGCTTCCTGCCTACGGGGTGAAGGGAGGGGAGGAAGCCTCCTGCATGGTCCGCCTTTGCCAGGTAAGGAGTATTGGGGAGGCAGCTGACTTGTCCTCCTGCGGCTGAGGCATCCCCTCGGTGTCAGGGTGTCCAGCTGTAAGCAGGTCACTGACAGCTTTCTCTGTCGCATTCAGGAGCAGGCTGGAAAGATCCACAGCTGCAAGTCGGGCCGGGGGACAAGCAGGCTCCCCCTAGGGTTGCTCACGACTCAGCCCGGCTTCTGACCCCGAAGCACGGGCTGCAGGAGCCGCCGCATGACCGGCAGGTATGTGCCACCCTCGTTCTTACCGGAGAAGAGCGACCACATGTCACTGGCAGGTCTCACCTCCAGGACGAAGAGATAGGACAGTTGTGTTATTTTAAGGCTCTAAGTTTCTTGTGCTGCGCCTACAGCAGCCACAGGAAAGCGATGCAGTGACAGATGTAGGCCACAGGTGTCCCCATAAGCCCCCACTCATCATCCCCTGCACACAGGTCATGCAACGGCCGGCCTTGGCCTCTGCATTGTTCCTTGTAGGAAGGCTCCCGGGAAAGGAAACATGCCTGACCTGGTTCAGCCCAGCCCCTGAGGTTCTGGTCGTCTGTAAACAACAGTGAGCCCCACTGGACTCACTCACCTAACTGTGACTAGTGCTTTGTACTTGGATGAGACTGTAACCAACACAGCACTCGACACAATCATGAGTGCTCCCTACATAAACGGGAAGACTTCCTACGTTGGGAAGCGGAAAGCATTCCCCAAATCACGGAAGAATGCACAGGGCATCGTGTGGAACGGACAGAGCGCAGGCAGGAGGACGACACCAAGTACGGAAGAAAGAAAAATCTAAACTATGTTTTAGAAATGCTGCGTTCCACCCCGACAGGAACTTTTTGAAAAAAATGCAGTGACCAGAAGGGTCTTTTTTTTTCTTTTTTTCTTGGCATGTCGGGAGCAAAAGCCGACTTTCCCATACTCTGTAAGCATTAGTCAGTGACTGGATGGAGGGCACTGGGACTGTGCTTAGCAAATCTGTGACTGAATGGTTACTACAATAAAAGACACATTAGTCGTCCACTGCTGGCCAGAGAGTGGCCTAGACAATCTGAAAACCATCCTGCAGGAGACGATTTAGGGAGAATTATCACCCACAACCTTTTAAATGGATCCTTAACTCAAGTTTGAATGATTAATGTAACAGAGAATTTAATGACCCTGAAGTTACTGAAAAAAGTAATCTGTTTTCCGTTTCACTTTAACTAAACACAATTGTGTTTATATTTCCATTTGACTCAGTTCTGGAAGGAACAGAAAGTCTACTTTTGAAAGGGAACCATATGTAAAATTAGTAATGCACAGAGCTACCACATATTAGACTTAGGAGAACTTTACTGACATATGGTTTTGGCTACTCTGGGAAATGGAGGGGAACAGGGTCAGCAAAATGTATTTAACAGACTTTATCCACGTCGTCACCACAAACTCCCAAAGACAGGCAGGAATGAGGAACAGCGTGGCTCACAGTTCCGTTCCCCACACTGCCGAGGCATCCTGGTCCCATTACTTGATGGAACAGAACCTTGTTCGCAAATTCTCACTTTGCTAATCTGTATTTGCAACAACACTCATAAAACAAGCCGTCTCAGCCCATTTCTCCAAGGATGCTTTGTAGTGGAGAGCAGTGGAGGGGTCTCACGTCATTACGACATCATGACTTTTACTGAGAGCCCTGATGACAGCGCCCTGCGGGGTGAGGGAGAGCCTCCGGCCCCTTTAGCTCAAGCTGGTACTCAAGGTGGTGGCCCAGGCCACGTCAGGGAGTTACTCAGTTTCCCTCTGCCTCTCCCATGAAGACAGGAGGCCCACATGTTACTAAACTTCTGTTTTTCTCTGGTTAATCTGCCATGAGTCTAGAAGGATAGAAGGAAACACCAGCCCGCTGCAACACCCAGCACCCGTTAGTTACTACTTCCACCACGAACATGCTTCCTGAACTGGCTGAGAGCCCCCTGCGTCACTAGTACATACTGGACAGGGCTCAGAAGTAGAGGGACGGGCGGACCCCGCAGGCTCTGAGTGCAGAGTCTGCCTGTCCCTCTCCCTCTGCTCCTATCCCTGCTTCCGCCCCCTGCCCCATGTGTGTGTGTGTGTGTGTGTGTGCTTTCTTTCAAATAAATAAAATCTTAAAAAAAAAAAAAAAGACTCAGCCCGGAAGCAAGGAGAAGAGAGGCAAATAGGTGGAGGTTAAGTGTGATAATAAGGCAATGGGATGCTGTGGGAACACACAGGAGGGCACCTGGCTCAGACAGCAGGAAGGCGAAAACATCAAAGGACATGAAGATGGTTATGAGAGAGCATTTTATTGTTTCCAATTGAGGATTTAAGCAGGAGTCTTTGTTGCCCAGTTTAAGCACTTAATGAAAGGGTTCCCGAAGTTTTTAAAGCTGTTATTTTGATTTATGAACTGTGCTCTTGGCTACCTTTAAAAGATTATTCTTTATTATAGTGGGTTGTCGTTTTTTGGTTTATTTTTTAATAACAAATACTCCGCAGAACCGCCTCCTCGCTGGCCATGCCAGAGTCGGGACAGACACCCTCAGCTTTCCTGCTGGGGCCTCTATGACACACGGAAATGCACTGAGGGCACCGCTGGGGAGCAAAATGCTTCAAGCAGCAAAGGGGCCTCTTTCTAACCTGTACCCCTGGGCCAGGATGCCAGGCCCTTCCTCCAACTCTGGCCAAGAGTGACTGGTCTTGTCAGGATAACAGTGACAGATCCCTACGTAGCATCTGCTTGACTAGGGCCCCAAAGGCTAGGGGGCCTGTACTGAAGTCACTTGAGGAGTTTACCTGTGGGATTAAACGCCCTTTTGGAGCTGGTCCTAAGCCTTTCCCAGAGGAAGGTCAGCTGGGCCAAACCTCCCGTTTGAAAGAATAGCAAAACTGAGCCCTAGTGAAGAGATGGGCCTCAAAACTTAGAACCCAAGTTCATTGATCACCAGCACAAATAAGGTGGTTCCTTGATCCTCAGGGCATAAATAAGCTATTTAATCTATAATTCACAAAGCCAAGCCATTACAATTCAAAGACAATCAGAGCCCTTTATGAAGTTTCTCCCAGGGAGTTAATATGTACAGTTTATACCTCTGATCTTAAAAGTCTCATCTGGATATCCATCGCACATGGATGTGTCTCTCCACGCAATTTAATTACGGCGACTCTGATTTGGTATGGCTCCAACTTTAATGCCACTCAACAGCCAGGGACAGGGGAGTCATGGGCAGACTCCTGCCACATAGTCCAAGGCCGTGGAGTGTGACTAGAGGTGTTTCCTCCCGCAGGACGGCCCAGGTCAGCGGGCAGCTGGGTGTGGATCAACAGCAGTAGAACTAAAGGTCAGAGTTATCTTTAAAAGAAATCCCTGAGCTTCTCTCCCCTTTTTGTAACTAAAGCAACGCAAAGGGCCCCAAAGCACAGCAGAGCTGTCTTCGGAGATCCCATGCCCTGCCAGCCCCTTACCACCGGTCAGCCATTCTTCCCTGTGCCACTCACTCCTGCGGACAGCCTCCCGCACCCGTGAAAAAATACCACCGACTCTGGAATGCAACTAATTTAAAAGCTGCTTTGTTGTCCCTGTTGAGGCAGAGTTAGAGCCCTATGGTGGGGAGGGCAGAGGGAGATCGCGCCCTCCAGTGCAACAAGAAGGGGCACAGACGGCCCCCAAAGCAGCCCCGTTTCCACAGGGCTTGTTACTGGGAGACCGACCGTAACACTAACGGTGCAACCAAGACCCTTGAAAGAAGCCCACGCACTGAGTGACTCAATTTCTGCGGCGGGTGGCCTCTGCTTCCCCACCAGGGTCCTTCCGCGCGGATGGACTGTCCTGCCAAAGGAGCGGAGGAGCAGACATCGCCCGGCTCGCAGAGTGAAGAACGAACGGCACCGCGCTCAGAAAGGAGGCGGCCCGGACAGAAAGCCTGCTTAGACTCGGATACATTTTTGTTTTTAAGAAAAATGGCTCTTTCCTGGATTTGACTTCCTCGGCTCAGAAGTTTAGGGCTTGAAGAAAATAAAAGAAAGCTCCCGGAAAAAACACTTAAGAGAAAGCTGAATGCGAAACAAAGTCAAGCGAGGGGGGACGTCACAGCGAGTGATTAATGATAAAAATTATTTCTGCGCCTCTGGTTCTTTTGTCGGTACGAAATGCTGTCGGCCCACAATCCGTCATCCCTACGACACTATAAACACGGACTTTTCATCGTTCGGCTGCTCGTTCCCCAGGACATCTGACAACCAGAGCGCGCGCTGGGCGCAAACTTTTGGGGAAGTCGGGCACGCGGGCTGCTTCACGTCGTTCCGATCTGCACGAAACTCCCACAGGCTGGCGAGGCTGCGGACCCTGCGCGCCCCGGCTCTCCGCAGCGCGGGCGGAGCTGGTCCGCAAAGCCCCCGAGCGGCCCCCAGAGCCCGCCGCCCGCTCCGCGCCCCGCGCCCGCGCCCGCGGGTTCGAGCCCGCCCTCGCGCCCCGCGGCAGGACAGAAAGTGGGAACGAGTCAGTACCGGCGGGCGGGTGTCCGGCTTTCGTCTCTAGCTTCCCCTCGGGAGGCGAAGACATGATGCGACCGCGTGTCCGAGGGGCTGGGACGGCGACGGAGACAGCGGGCGAGCGGGCCGGGCGACAGGAGCGCGAGCGGGAGCGCCGGACTGCCAGGGAGGCGCGCGCGGGAAGCGACGGGGCCGCGCACGGAGGTGGTGACTGCCGCCGCCGGGAAGGGGCGCGGCCGGCGCGCGCCGACGTGGCGCGTCCCGCCCACCCGCGGCTGCGCGTTGTCGTCACTGCGCCTGGCCCCGCCCCGCCGGGTCCCGGAGCTTGCCGTGTGCTGAGCTTGCGCAGTGAGCAGCGCCACGTTGGAAGCGGTGGCTCGGAGCGCGGGAGGAGGAAGGAGGGTGAGAGTTGTGCGTGGTGAAGGAGGCGGGGCTGTTGCTGGCAAGGGTTGCTGGCGGAGGTTGAAATGGCCAAGCAGGAGGGTGGCACCTTCCCCGAGCCGCGCTCCACCGACCCGCCTGATGGACGGTGACGGCGGTGGGGCGCCCTCGGGGGCAGGTGTAGGTGATCTGGCGACCGGCCAGTCTGCCAGATGCCTTCGTCCGGCTCACACTTGGAGCGACTAATCACGTGCGGAAATGAGACCCCAGGTGGGACCGACCAGGAGTCTCAAGATTGCAGGGATTTGTTAAAAGACGCTGCAAATGGGACTGCCCCCCGCCCCCGCCCTCCCTGCCCCCCGTGAGAAAGACAGCGCTGTGAAGCCAGGAGTTCTTGGACTGTTGCGTCCGTGCCTCCTGGGTGCTGTCTTCTTGTTGAGATGGATCTCTTGATTCTGTCTAAAGCTGATCCTTCCCGCCTTCTCAAGTGCTTTGCAATGAACAGATCTCGCCTCCCGCACCATCAATCCCTCCTTGCTAAGTAACCTTTCAGACATGCCCAGTGTCTTTAGAGAAGGAAACACCACCATCTCTCTTGGCTCTACATCTGCTGTTGACGATACAACTGATCAAAGAGGTTGAGCACCTCATTCGCTCTTATCCCTCAGCCCAATCCATCTAGTGATCCCCCAGCTGCCCAGAGGCTGCCGCCAAACAGGGACTTTTCTTTTGTCCGGGTTAATTAATGACCTCCATGCTGCCTGGTCCAGTGGTCGCTCTTTCACTCTCACCCTTCTTGACCTCTCTGCAGCACTTGACTTAGACGACCCTCCACCTCCTTAGCTTTAGGGTTGCGCATCCCTTCCTTGACGTTGGGTGTTCTGGCTGGTGGTTGGCTGCTAACTCTGTGGGGTGTGTTGGCTTCTCTTCTTGATTATAAACACTTGGGTATTGTAAGGCTCAGCACCAGCCTTCTTCTCTGGACTTGGCTTCAGTGGTCCCCTGCATGCCCATGGGTATGACCATCACCCATATGCTTATGAATACCAAATCTGCAAACCCATTTCTTTACCCTTGCGCCTTCACTAAGCTTCAGACTGCCTCCCTCTGGATGTCGAACACAGCACTGCCCAACTCCGCATCCCAGCACGCATAGAAGTGCAAGTTCTGCCCCTGTGTCCCAGGCTCTCTCCCCACATTTCAACAGCATTAATAGCAAGATAGCTGTTGGCCAGATGACAGTCATGATATATATGTCATTCCCTTACATTCATTCACATCAAAACTCACAGATAGGTGTCAGCAGCTTAGAAGAAAATCTGAAATAAATAGCAGAGCACTCTTTTTAAGACATGCTGCATCACTAACACACTTAGTGGAACAGAGTGAGAAAATCCACGGACGCTGCTGATTTGGATTCTGAATGGAAAGGCCCTTTAAGGATACCTAACCAATTAGTTGTGTGAATATTTTCTTCTTTATGTGTGTAATGAGTGCTGTATCATTTAAAACTCATGTTTTAATAAGTCTAAAAGAACCATTTCTAAGAAGTATACCATTTCTAGGTTCGAAACATTTTGTTATAGTTTAATTGGCATCATTTTTGCCTTTAGTGATATATAAAGTCGCACGTTGAGAGTGATAACATTTTCTCTCCTGTGACATGTGGCGTTCCTAGGGAATCCTTGGGTAAAAGAAGGAGCCTTCTGAGGAGGGAGTCAAGCTACCCGTGGGCCTTGCTGGCCCCGCTGGGCTGCCCTGAGGCGTCAGAGGATCCATTTCTTTGCCTAAGGCCTGTTCTGGGTCTACACTGATTGGAACACTCTGGTATAATCATCAGGTCTAGTTTTACTTGTTCAAAGCAGAATTCCTGATTCACCCACCTACCGCACAATACTTTCCCACCTAGAATAGCATCCAAACTACAGTGTGGGGTAACTCCCTAATCAATAGCATTGCTATTGAAGAAGGTGTGGTTGTGTAAGCAACTTGGCTTGGGAAAACCACCCATGCTTCCCAGCCTCCCTTGCAGCTGGGGGTTGGGGGCAAATTCTACCACTGGAATGTAAGTGAGACTTTGTTGGGAGATTTCTGGCAAAATTTTGCATGCTTGAGAGGCACCTGGGTGGTTCAGTTGGTTGAGTGTCTAACTCTTGATTTCGGCTCAGGTCACAATTTCAGGGTCTTGGGATGGAGCCCTGGGTCGGGACTATGCACTCAACACAGAGTCTGCTTGAGATTCTCTCTCTCTCTCTGGCCCCCCTTAAAACAAATAAAATCTTAAAAAAAAATTTTTTTTGCGTGCTTGATATGCAGACTACCCTTCCTCTCATTGACTTCCCTGTTCATATTGCCTTGAATTCAGATAGAACGTGGAAGGCAGAGGAATCACATTGCAAGCAGGAGGCGAGTAAAGCTCTGCATGCCAAATGACAATCAGAGGCATGTGGCATGTGGGATGTGAGGTCCCATGGAGGCTCTGCAGAGCAATGGGCCTCACTTCTAGACTATTCTGTTGTGTGGAAAACAAACCCCTATTAGATCAAGTCTCCTTGGTTGGTGTCTTTAGATGTAGCCAAATGCAGCCCCAGCACACATGGTCTCGCAGGCCTTGCATGATGGGGGCCATGCCCGCCTCTAGGAGCTTGTGTCTCTTGCCCCCTCTGGCCACCCTGGCCTTTCTGATACTCCTTCAGTGTGCCAATCCAATACTTCCCTCTGGGGTCATACCATTAGCTGTTCCCTCCACCAGGAACCACCTCTCCAAGATCCTTGCACAACTCGCTCCTTCTTATTTGGAGTCAGCTTTTCCATAGGGCCTACCTGGCCCACCAGATCTGAAGAAGCCAACCCAGGTACTCGACTCTCAACCCTTGTGATCACAGTACTTTGTCCTCATCCAAAATTCCTCTTCCATCTTGTGGGCATTAGCTCTCTGTCTCTCCTGACTGTAACACCGGTTGAGCGTCAGCCCCATGACGGGAGAGACCTTGTCAACTTTGCCCACTGCATGGGCAGCATCTAAAACCAAAAAGCATTCAGTGTGTGTTCTCCCCCATAATTCCAGAGCCTGGATACATTTAATTTCTCACAGCTGTTACCAAAATGAAGCGCAGCAAATTAGGACTATGCAGAGAATGAAAATATACCTAATATTTAGGGTACCATCAATGCAGATGGCCACATATCCTTTCTAACATTTACTTCCACCGTGCACATGGTTGTGGATACACATGTGTATGTGAGTGTGTATGTGTACATGTGGGTGTGTTAAACCCCACCAGTCCCAGATGCTGAGGAAAAATGCCAGGTAACTCCCATGGGAAGGTTCCCATGTCACCATGCAGACCCAGGTATTATTAGAATCGCCAAGTGACTAATCTTATTTGAAGCTCACTCTAATTCTGAGAGCAAGGCAGTTTCACTTATTTTTACCAATGGTGCTGAATGTAAGATACTTCTGAATGTGAATACTTAAGCACTGGGAAAAGTATTCAAGGAAGGAACAGAAAGTGCACATCCTCTTCTCCATGTATGTATGTTGTACTCTGAGCCACAGCACTGAAACTCTCTGGGTCTGTCTCCTCATCTGCAGGACACATCAGAGATGTGAACTCTCCTGTCCCCTTTTCCTGATGTGAATTCAGGATTAAGTGCTGCCTACAAGCTGCATTGCTCTTTGTGGTCACATTAAGTGCCCACAAGATCCTGAGACCCAAGGGCTTCTCTGTCCTCACTGATGGAGAAACCCAGCCTGTGAAAGGCCAAGCACAGGGACACATGGTGGGTGTGGGGAGACCTGAGAGAACCCTGTGCTTGTCGCCGTCCTGCTCTGTAAACCGTAACATACTGCTGCATGTAGTGTTACTACTGCAAAGGGAGTTTTTATTAGCACTCAGGAAATACATGAATTGTCCTGGGGAGTATTGAAAGAACCCCACCTGTCAATCAGTTTGATGAATGTTCCCTCCTTATTCCAGACTGGCCCATAAGTTCTGTCTTCTTGTGGTCTTTGTCTGACAGATGAGGATTTTTATGACTCACTACACAGAATTGCTCTTCCATTGTTGATATTGCTCAGAGAGGGAGGGCAGTCTTCTTGACTGTGTAACATCCAAGAGATTTCTTATTTTATTATGGAGGGTTTTTTAAAAAAATATTTTATTTATTTATTTGACAGAGAGAGTGATCGCAAGTAGGCAGAGAGGCAAGCAGAGAGAGAGAGTGGGGAAGCAGCCTCCCCGTTGAGCAGAGAGCCCTATGTGGGACTCAATCCCAGGACCCTGAGATCATGACCTGAGCCGAAGGCAGAGGCTTAAATCACTGAGCCACCCAGGTGTCCCTATTATGGAGTTTTTAAAGAATATTAGTTTAAAGATAATTTATGTGACACCCACACATACATGTACAGTACTTGAGAATATGCATATCCTAGAGACAAATAAAAATAATAGAATATCATGTGTCGCGCACACACACACACACACACACACACACGGGAATCCTTTGGGATTTCATTGGGCTTTGACTTGTCAGTCACAGGATAATCTAGAAGCACGTTGGGGCATTTTTCAAAAGTAATTCAATAGCCAATAAAGGACATGGAGATCAATTTTGGTCACATGGGAGGTTACCTTTTCGCTAAGGATATTTGGAGGAAAAATAACCAGCCTGAATCTTGGCAACATATTCTTCTTATCTGTATTTGGAAGTGAGAGATAGAAAAGGAAAAAAGATGAGAAGGCTATGGCCACGAA